CCCCCCCCCCCACAAAAAAACAATATTTGAACTATAAAGGAATGGGCATATTTAAAAATGGATCCCTCTTACACTTTGTAGGCCTATAGATCTAGAAGGCTATTAATTGCATGTTGGCTGTTGGTTGAATATTAGGCCATAATAATATGCTGCGAAGAATCAGAATTTGTATCCTATATTGAACGACTTTTAATAACGTTACTTATATTAAGAGCAAGAGGAGCGCACTGAAAGTCGTCCACACGACGCTCCACGAGAGAGCGAAGAAAAACGCACGGAACGCACGATACATTAGACAATGAAAACAGAAAGTAGGGACGATCTCACCTGAACATTCCACTCACATTAACTCCGGCACACGGATAATTTATACTCTCAGAATTCGATACTCCTGACCTTATGAACTAGAATCTACATATATATTGAATTTACATTCATTGGTTATCAACAGAAATGTTAAAGAGTCTATGTAAGAAATATGTACCATTCCATACACGAGTCGGTGTCACAGTGCTGCCCCACCCATTGTAGAAGTCACAGTCTTCTAGCAGACAACGTACGGGTTTATCCGAAAGCTTTGTGTAGTTACTGTGACGAAGTACACACACCAGGGCTCATGACGTTTTACGACTTCCTGTTTCAAACTAAATGTAAACAGTCGAGGAAGTGGGCTGGTTGTTATTGTGGTCGTTTTTTTCTTGCAGAAAGAGAAGAAATATTAAATTAAGTTACTCGAGTTGCATTATATACGGTTGGACGTCACCATCAGCTGACGAGCAAGTAGGTCTTCTCTAAGATATGAGCTAATCATTAGATTTAGTTGAATAGTTCAGTTCAGTTCAGTCTTCATCATTCAGAATTACTGGGTTTTTTTACTTTGACTTTTTTGTTATTCAGACTAACGAGTTAATCTAGAATCTAGACAAATGAATGATGCAGACTTTGGCATGGCAAAGAGAGAGAGAGAGAGAGAGAGAGAGAGAATTTTGAGGTTGAGGGTTCTTGGGAGAGGAGAGAGAGAGAGAAAGCTAAGAGAGAGAGGGAGAGAGAGAATTTTGGGGGCCACCTCTATTCTCACCCGGTGCAGGCGGGTCTTGTGGCTATTCTCACCCGGTGCGCGTGTCAACAATTTTTGCGTTCACCCTAAACCACACAATTCTACACTGTGATAAGAGAAAAATTGTAGAATTCTGTGCTGTGGACAAACGTTCCATTACAACTGTACTTGTAGCCTACTAAAAGCGTACAATTTTGTCTGTGGGCAGGGGAGAGAGAGAGAG